CTCGGCCTCCTCCAGCTCCTGCAGCAGCGCCCACAGGCGCCGCGACGCCTCGAGCTCGGCGCGCCGCCGCGCCGCCTGCTCCTGCAGCTCGGCCAGACAGCCGTGCACGTGGTTCACGCGGTTGCAGATGACCTGAGGGTCGCAGGGCTGGTAGCCTGGGGCGGAAGAAGGGGCAGACGGGAAGGGTGGCGGGGCGGCTGGGGAGGGGGCATTGCCCGAGAAAGGGGGACGACGGGGGTGGTGCAAGCTACCCCACCTGGCCTTGGCCCGACTTCATCGGGCACCAGGTCACCCCTTTCCCGACGCTACCCCTCTGCCTATGCCCCCACACCCCCACGCTTCCGTTCCCCACCTGTGCATCCCTGTCCTTACAATTCCCACCGCTTTAACCACCTGAGGCCTCCGCTGTTCCTCCCACCCCGAGATTCAAAAGAGCAGGAAGTCCGTTCGCAGCATGCGATGCCCAGACAAACCACACTTCACTGACTCATCCCCCCAACCGCCAGGCACAATCCCAGCCAGCACGGCGCCCCTTCCGGAAAGGCGCCCCAGGGCATAGTGGGTGCCGAGTTGGACTGCTGACCGCCAAGTCCGTAGTTCCTTAGCACTAGCAGCTCAGCTGGAGAAGGGTGAGATTCAGAAACCCACCCACCCCCCGAGGGGGGGGGCAGCTCTACTGTGTCCTAGAGGGCGGCTAGGAGCGGGAATCCACTGGATGGCTCGGAGGATGTGCGTGGGTTCTATGTAAGTATCACATCATTTTCGATAGGGGACTTGAGCGTCCTGGGATTTGAGGAGAGGGGGAGGGTCCCGGTGGTGTAATGGTGGCATGGGCTCCCAACCGCAAGGTCAGCAGTTCGAAACCACGAGCTGCTTCGGGGGAAGAAAGGAGGCTATCTCAGCTTTTAACGAGTGACAGTCTCAGAAACCCACATGGGCGGTTCTGCTCTGTCCAAGAGGGTCGTTAGGAGTCAGAATCAAAAGGCAGTGCTGTTCCTCAGTAGTTGAGACTACTTTCCGGAGGTGTCCCATCCTTCCCCACGATTGGCCGCCCCAGCAGTGCAAAGAGCCAATAAGAACAATCATTGCGCGGGGAGGAGACGAGCCAGTCAGGATGCAGCGTGGCAATGATGAAACATAGAACTTTCCTCTAGTTCTTTTAAGACTTCCTCCCCCAGCCCCTCCCCCTTCATGATCTCAATTCTACCTTACAAATCCGGCTAGACCGGAGGATGTACACTGGTACAGATAGGAACTGGAAACACAGGGAATCCAGGACGGATGATCTATCCCTTCAGGGCCAGTGCTGAGAGTGGTGATACGGGGAGGGTGGAGGCAAGGTGAGGTAGAAAGGGGCAACCGATTACAAGGATCTACATATAACCTCCTGCCTGGGGGATGGACAGCAGAGAAGAGGGCGGGGGGAGACATCAGACAGTATAACTGACAAAATAATAATAATTTATAAATTATCAAGGGTTCATGAGGGAGGTGTATGTGGGGAGGGAGGGGGAAAATGAGGAGCTGATACCAAGGGCTCAAGTAGAAAGCAAATGTTTTGAGAATGATGAGGGCAACAAATGTACAAATGTGCTTGACACAATGGATGGATGGATGGATTGTGGTAAGAGTTGTACGAGCTCCTAATAAAATGATTGAAGAAGAAGAAGAAGAACCTATCTTTGTTTGGCTACGGGGAGCTCCCTGCCATCCTGTGCCTGGAGGGCTCTAATGGGTTGACTTGTAGGGAACAAAGTAACCCAAACTCACAGCCACTGAGTCAATGCCGACTCACACGGACCCTGTAGGACAACATAGAATTGCTCCTGTGCGTTTCTGAGACCGTAACTCCTCCCACAAAGAAAAGAAGAAAATCCACTGGCATTGAGTCAACGCTGACTCATATCGACCCCATAGGACCGACCAGAACTACCCCCGTGAGTTTCCAAGACTGTACTTGTTCATGGGAGTAGAAAGCCCTGTCTCCTCCTGCAGAGATGCTGGTGGCTCCAAACCACTGACCTTGCAGTGAGCTGCCCAAGGTTGAACGACTACACCACAGGGCACACACACTCCCTCCCAAAAGAGGGCTGAAAAAGAGGCAGGCCTGAAGAACCTCAACGAGATGGATGGACACAGTGGCTCTAATCACGGGTTCACGCACAGCCAGGACGGTGAGGATTGACGGTGAGGATGGCACAGGAACGGGCAGTGTCTCGCCCCCCTAATGCCTTGACATTGGACTTTTAGTCCCCCAAACGGTGAGGCAATAGAGCTCTGCTTTCCGCCTCCCAGTTTGTGTGGAGGCAGCGCACTGAAAGGGGGCTTCGGTAGCGCCGGTCTGGGGCTAGTCTGTCAGCATCCATGTCCTCAGCTTCTGAGAATGGTGGCCACTCTTGGCCTGGAGTGGGCATGTCATTGAGATGTGGCTGGTGATATCTCTGGGGCCACCATGACTGGCTGGAGTACCGGGGATGGACACCCGGGTGGCTCTCCTTGGTTGGACCGCGTGTCAGAACGCCTAGGAGTGTCATGGTCAAAGTGATGGATGCTAACTTAAAGTTCAGCAGTTTGAACGTGGGGAAAAGACGTGGTGGTCTGCTTCTGTAAGAATTTCAGCTTTGGGGGCCTACTGGGACCATTCTACTCTGCCCGATGGGCCTCTAGAACCCTAGCAGACTGTCTACTCTGTCCTACAGGGTCCCTGTGGCCCAGTATCAACTCAATGGCAACAGGTTTTGTCAGGAGTGGGAGAGAGGGCTCTGTCTCCTAGTGGGTCTACTAAGCTGCTGGGACATGAACCCCAAACCTCACTGCCATCAAGTCTCCTGGTGACCCTACAGGACAGGGGAGAGCTACCCCTGCGGGTTCCAGAGACCGCAACTCTTCCAGGAGTCAAAAGCCCCCTCTTTCTCCTGCAGAGGAGCTGGGAGGCTTGAATTGCTGATCTTGAGGTTTGTAGCCCAATGTAGTGGGTTCATAACCCACTAAGCCACCAGGCTCCTTCCTGGGGGTGGGGGTGGTAGTTACATAATCTGGTGTCAATTTGAGGATTAAGAGTGAAGGGGTGGAGTCTAGCCTGCCAATCATTATGGCCAATGAGGCCTCTGTGGGCCTGGCCTTCCCCTGAGGATTCTGGAAACTCCTCTATTCCTCCTTGGAGGTAGGAGATGCACACTCTCTCTCTGCTTACTTCCTGGGAGCCTTGGCAGCTGACAAGACACATGGAACTAAGCTAGTGCCCTGAGCTGGAGCAGCCATGTGGAGGGCCCTGCCAGCGCTGAGATGCTTACAATGCCACTGGATCCACAAGACTTCTCATCCATTAGCCTGTGATTTGGCATCATTGCATGTGTTTCTGAGTCTGAAAAGGACTTTATAGATTGGTATCAGACATATGGGCTAATATCGGACTTATGGACTGGGCTGGGATGTTTTCTCAATATACAATCGCTCTTGTATATAAAGCTCTTTCTTATACACATATGTGTCTATGAATTTGTTTCTCTAGTCTACCCAGACTAACATAGTGTGTACACAGAAGGGCTGACAGTCTGTCCCAGGTTTACACCACTAAGGGAGGGCTGCCCAGCAGTGGCACCAACAAGACCCAGGATGGAGAGAGTTAATAGCACCCCTGAACACCCCTGGATCCAGCTATCCCTGACGCCAAATCTACCCTCTCTGGACGTTTTAGTGACATAAGCCACTTAGGTTTCGCTTGTTGCTGGCAGCACCTCACACTGGCTGGTGTGTGTGTCTGTGTGTGTGTGTGCACGCCTGTTCCATGATAGTTACCATCCAGGCTGAGCAAGGCTTCACGCCCAGCAATGGCTCCATGACTGTGAGGTGTGGCTGCAAAGTCAGGTCTAACCTTCCCTCAAAGCGCGCGTGCACGTGCACACATACACACACACATCATTCCTGACCGATTGTGATACTGGTTTATCTTTGGATAGTTCCAAGGCAGGGAGCTCACTCCTTTTTTCCATGCCTGACCTTGGCCATCTGCTCGCCTAGCCCCAGACTCACCCTGAAGCTGGGAGAAGCGCAGGGCGGCGGCGTTGAGTGCCTGCACGCGCTCGCTCTGGGCTGAGATGTCCCCCTCCAGCAGCCCGTGCTTCTGCAGCAGGTCCTCTGCCTCCACCAGGTGCTGCCCACACTCCCGGGACAGCAGCTGAGCCTGGGAGACACAATATGTATGCCCTTAGGCCAGGCAGCTCCCTGCCCATCAGGTGGACCAGCCCTCTGCTCACTTATTCTGCCCACAGTCCCCTGCCCCTGTTAACACGCTCTCCCTGCACACACACCCCTCAACAT